ATTCACTTTGCTATATGCTCACCCAGAGGCGCTTCTCAGCACCGGTAAAGGGACAAACTTATTAAGTGCAATGGAACGAAAGGGCATTATTTCATGCATAGCTATTGATGAAGCACACATGATACTTGAATGGTAATTTCTTTAAATGTTCATTTATATCAGTGTATGCTAAGCAGTTCCCAGTTATAGACAATTACTAAATTATATAACTTTTTGGTTATATCCTAGATAAGACCCCTTATCCCGAGCCTTCTAAACCATGAGTTATTAATGCATATGTATGTATGTCTATTCCATGACTAGAAGCACTAGCATAGTGTTTTTTATTTTTAGACCCCATGTATTACAATATATTTCAATATCATTTATCATTGATTGTAAGGATTCTGGTGATGTTGCAAATAACACCTGATCATCTGCGTATAAAATTAAAAATAAAATTAAATCTTCATATGTGAATAATCCATCTAGATTAGTATTTATATTGTCAACAATATCATTTACGAACATCATAAACATCAAAGAAGAACTCGGGTCTCCCTGTTTCACGCCCAAGTGTGAGAGAATTGGCTAAGAGAGTCTATTACAGTCAGGGGTGTAACTTAAAGCAGTTATCGTTTTTAGTTGGGACGTAGTCCCAACTAGTGCACTTACAAACCCGAAATTTCCAACCATACAGGGTAACGCCCACTGCTGTGACGTTTCATCGCCACTCTATATGCTATATTGTATTCTAACATATCAAGGTAAGCTGAATTCATAGTGATCACCCGACCATGACCAACGCATAACCGCCGCGAGTGAAAAATAGTGCTCTGAATTTCTGAAAACTTCGATTTATTGCGAACAGAAGAGGAGACAAGAAATTTATTTTTTGAAAATAATGTGCAATTGAGCTTGAATTACGGTATTAGAAACGTAGCGGATATAATTTGAAAGGTCACATAATTCTATGAATGGGATAGTAAATTAATTGGGTCATAGTGCTTGACGGCTTGCAATGCAATATTTAACTTACTCATCCGCCTTATCATCACATTTTTTATTATATTCCAGAAATCTTTGAAAAAGACATTATTTATCGGATAAATTTTGTAGTTTATAATTGCAAAGTGGATATTGAAATAGAATTAGCCAGAGATGTAGATAATCTATTCGTCTCTGATTTAGCCGATAATTAGGTTAAATGAATCCGACAACTTCCGGTATATTTTTTGACCTACTTCACGAGCATAATTATCAGCCTGTTAAGCTCATAAGGTAAGTTATAAAGCAAAATATGTTATGAATTTGATGAATAATAATATTAAGTTTATTTACAAACTCCTCGCAGCGGTTACTTCCCCTGATCTGTACAGTAACCACTTCCACCACAAGTAAATTCGGTCGAATATAGCCGGATATATTTTTTTCACTTTTAATTTTAAAAAAGAATACTTTATATCATTTTAGTTTTCTTTCGTTAAATAGTTATGCTTAATGTACAAGAAAGTAAATAAATATACGTTTAAAAATTATTTTGTAAACATAACGAAAGATATTTTCACTGTGACACCGTATGCATAGTAAACAAGGTAAGGGCGAAAGTCTATACAAATTACAAGGTTTTCGTCTATACAGATTTGAAAGTCGTAAAATGTGCATGATGTCGTGAAAGTAAATATAGATATACTGTAAGGAATACATGTTTTTTCTGAAACTTTTTCATTTTCATGAAAAATAAATGAGGTTTTATAAGGAATATTTTGAACCAAACCAAACAAAAAAATGCATTACTGCATGTCCTGCAAAAGGTTCCTGACCACCAAATTTTACTCTGATATTTTGTCTATACAGATTTCACTTGACCACATTGATATGATGTGTCTATACTAATTTGACTAAATTTCATCCAATATAATGTGTCTATACAGATTTCAACAGACTTCATTCGGTATGATCTGTCTATACAGATTTCATCAGACTTCATTCGGTATGATCTGTCTATACAGATTTCACTGACTTTATTCGGTATGATCTGTCTATACAGATTTCAACAAACTTCATTTGGTATGATCTGTCTATACAGATTTCATCAGACTTCATTCAGTATGATCTGTCTATACAGATTTCATACAGTATGATCTGTCTATACAGATTTCATCAGACTTCATTCGGTATGATCTGTCTATACAGATTTTAATAGACTACACTTGACATGATGTGTCTATACCAATTTGACTATATTTCAACCTTTATAATGTGTCTATACAGATTTCACTAGACTTCATTTGGTATGATCTGTCTATACAGATTTCACTAGATTTAATTCAGTATGATCTGTCTATACAGATTTCATCAGACATCATTCGGTATGATCTGTCTATACAGATTTCACTTGAGCACATTGATATGATGTGTCTATACTAATTTGACTATATTTCATCCTATATAATGTGTCTATACAGATTTCAACAGACTTCATTCGGTACGACCTGTCTATACAGATTTCAACAGACTTCATTCGGGATCATCTGTCTATACAGATTTCACTAGACTTCATTAGGTATGATCTGTCTATACAGATTTCACTAGATTTCATTCAGTATGATCTGTCTATACAGATTTCAATAGACTACACTTGACATGATGTGTCTATACCAATTTGACTATATTTCAACCTTTATATAATGTGTCTATACAGATTTCACTAGATTTCATTCAGTATAATCTGTCTATACAGATTTCATCAGACTTCATTCGGTATGCTCTGTCTATACAGATTTCACTAGACTTTATTCGGTATGATCTGTCTATACAGATTTCAACAGACTTCATTCGGTATGATCTGTCTGTACAGATTTCACTAGATTTCATACAGTATGATCTGTCTATACAGATTTCATACAGTATGATCTGTCTATACAGATTTCAACAGACTTCATTCGGTATGATCTGTCTATACAGATTTCACTAGATTTCATTCAAAATGATCTGTCTAGACAGATTTCATACAGTTTGATCTGTCTATACAGATTTTAATAGACTAAGTAACACTTGACATGATGTCTGTCTATACCAATTTGACTATATTTCAACCTTTATAATGTGTCTATACAGATTTCACTAGACTTCATTCGGTATGATCTGTCCATACAGATTTCACTAAATTTTATCAAAATGATCTGTCTATACAGATTTCATACAGTATGATCTGTCTATACAGATTTTAATAGACTACACTTGACATGATGTGTCTATACCAATTTGACTATATTTCAACCTTTATAATGTGTCTATACAGATTTCACTAGACTTCATTCGGTATGATCTGTCTATACAGATTTCACTAAATTTTATCAATATGATCTGTCTATACAGATTTCATACTGTATGATCTGTCTATACAGATTTCATCAGACTTCATTGGGTATGATTTGTCTATACAGATTTCATCAGACTTCATTCATTATGATCTGTCTTAACAGATTTCACTAGACTTCATTTGTTATGATCTGTCTAAACAGATTTCACCAGACTTCATTTATTATGATCTGTCTATACAGTTTTCACCAGACTTCATTTTTTTATGATCTGTCTATACAGATTTCACCAGACTATTATGATCTGTCTATACAAATTTAACCAGACTTCATTCATTATGAGTTGTCTATACATATTTCACCAGATTTCAAACTGTATGATCTGTCTTTACAGGTTTCAGATTTCACTGGACATGATGTGTTTTTACCAATTTGACTTTATTCTATCTGTATGATGTGCCTATTCACATTTTGCTTGACTTTGTTTGGTATGAATCTAAAAATTTACCATTTTCATAAGTAACATTTTTTTTTAAATATTTGTTTAAGATATATAAGGTCATCTCCATAAAAGTACTGGTAGGAGCAAATCATGTTCATCTAAAATTGCAAGAACTTTTTGAAAACTATATTGCTACTACAGACCAAGACAATTATAATTTCTTAGTATCAACATAAAAGTGGACATTCCCTCTACACCAGTAGTAACAGTTGTATATCTAAGTTTCACTCCCTGAAAGAGTAAGTCATAGCAGACTACCAAACCTTGACCACAGGAAAGAAAAGACAAAACAATTAGCAGCTGTAATATAGTTTTATTTTGTACTTTATGGTCTTAAAAGTAACTCATGACACTCATTGATACATGTATTGCTAATAGATGCTCACACAGGACTTCAATATATCAAGCGAAAAGCCAAAAAATGGAAATTACATATAATGATATTAATGAGGAAAAGAAAACAATTGTGAAGCAACACCTGGTCTTTCCACAGAAAAGAACATCATCCAAAAAAGTAATTTAACCTTGTACATTGTAACTACTCATTGGAAAACAATAAGCAAAAACATTTTGTACTTTCATTAAGCCAAACATCTGTTTCTTCTCCCAGTATGTGTGTGTACATACTACATGACAAGTTAACATATTGATGGCTGAAGCAACACTGGTATAACTTAAAAAAAAAATTTCTTCAAAAATTACTTTTTTTACATTTTTAGCCTATTAAAATTGCATGAAATACACAAGTAAATAAAATATTAAAAATAATTGTGAAATTTTATTGTTTTCATTTACCACTTGGAAAATATTAAATACAAAAACTAAGAATGATAGAGGAAAGAGAAATGTAACAAATTACTGTACTAGGAATATGGGGGAAAATATATTAAAAAACGTCACAAAATTTGAGTAAATGTATAACTTGGACGGTGAACAAAGCTATAGATACAAGTGCCATGCCATGTTTAATTATAAAGAGCTGCAAAAGCTTTTCTTTGACAACTTAGAGATATCACCTTACTTTTAATGCAAAATGTTCTAAAAGTTTAATTAGGATTTTACTTGAAAAGCTGACTTGCAATATGTTTTCAGATTATCAATTTATTGATGCTATAAACATTAAATAAAAACATATTAATTCTATGAAAAGAATTGGATTTAATTTGCAAACCAGCACAGACTGATATCAACTGACACACAACTGTGCCAGCTAATTTATAAGGGTATACACTCTTTGCAGCTTGGACAATAAGACCCTTCCAACCATGTTGGCAATTTAAGTGTGTGGTTCGATCAACTGGCAACTTATATGATAAATTCAATATGAAAATACAATTATGTCATATCCTCCATGTAAATGCATAACTATTTGAATGTTACTTATGTGTCTGATAATTTTGTGCCGTTGGCACAAACGACTAGATTCTCTTATCTTAATAGGACGCTTCAGGGTAAAAATGTCACTCCATTCAATCGAAACCCTTTTCTTGTTTGTAATTTGATTTTCTTTGAATCACCTGTAAAAAAATGACAAAAAGTTTACTTTTACTCTTTCATTGAAAGCAAACATTTATAACATTGTTCTCCCAAAATTGTGATCACCTAAATAAATACACAAATTTTTAAAACTTAAATTTGGGCACTAAGTGTTCAATTTTGGTTAAGGCTTTCTTCCCAAGCATGTAGTGCTTTGATATTTTTTAGATTTTATGTACAGTTAAACCTGTAAAGTAAAGACCACTCATGGGAATAGCAAAATGTGGTATTTATTTACTTGTCAGTTTTTATCACTTTATAAGAACGTTTTTTGGAAGTTCAATAAAACATATAGGCAAAATTAAAAAACTGTTCAGTAGAATTTCTTTAAAACTTGGCATGTAAGATGTTGTTAGAATATGATACCGAACAGAAACATTTTTAGTTGGAAAAAAAATTGGGGGTCACTGTTCTCGTTTTTTTGAGTCATCTGCCTTTGAATTGGACTTTTTTGTTAAATTCAAGGGCAGATAATTTTACAATGGGGGGGCGAATTAATACATTTTTTTTCCCTTGTTTTCACCAAGCTTACCTTCATTTTAGTTGATATGCAAAATTTCAAGAACAAATTTAGAGTGGGTAGTTTTTATTTCCCACTTCTTCTTTTAACCTGTGCATTTTTCTTTTAAAAAATGGCCTGTTTTTTTAAGGATTTAAAGTTACCTTATTTTCATTGGAAAAAAAATTAAATTGCGAAACGATGTTTAGAAATTGCATATTAATTATGTATTTGTACTCAACAATAAAAAGAAAAGCATAATCCAGAAGTAAAAACAAGAATTCATTTGATTATGTATAAGTTATCTGCCCCTTGAAATGACCTCAAATAAGTAGAAAAGTCTGACAATTCCCCTGAGACATTTTAGGAAAAGCATTTTCAGGGACAGTTCTGTTGATATAATAAATTTTGTGAAAATGCTATTTAGTTTTTGGTCTTTTAAGTAAAAATATGTCTCAAAATTTATTGTCACTGAATAGGGGACATCACTGAAGGTGGCAGGATGACTGAACTAAAATTGACTACACATCTAATAATGTTTCTAAGTTCTGACATTCTGAAGTTGGGTCGGTAAGATATAATTCAACCTTTAAAAATAAGTTTTTCAGAAAACGTGCAGAGTTTGTGCTATAATGTTGTATGAAGGTTAATGAAAAATACATACTTAGTTGAATGTTACACGGCTTTGTTTTTTGGATTTGTTAAGAAATTGTGTACAGTAGTCTTCAAGCCTCGCTGTAATCACTGTCTGGAAAAAGTTGCCACATTGGAGTACCTCTGTGTTGCACTGCTCTACTACGCTTGAATGGAAGAGAAAAATTATTGTTTAAAACAATTTATTATGGGTAAAGGGTTTGAATGCTGCTTCCAAACAATAATTTAGTCATATCATGACGGCAGTAAATACTTGCCCCTGCTACGAAGCTTACCAGGTATACTAGTAAATGTTAACTTGCACTACAAGGATTTTAATATAAGTTAATGTCACATATAATAATGCAATACATGGCACCAAAGTAAAAATATTAAAGGCCAGGATGTCTTCTGCCACAAAAAAAAAAAACACTTAGCCCATTCCCAACAGTAGAGACTTGTGAAAGAATTCCATTGTTCAAATTGAATATTATATTAAAGTCATGAAAATGTGGACTTCTTCAATGTTTTCCAATGATTTTTTAAAAATATTTTCTGACTGTATTGTTATTTAAAAACAATTATGGAATTCCTATCAAGTTATATTCATTGATAGACATGACAATATGTATAATATGAATTTAGTATCAAATCTGAAGAATCCATTACATATATAAACATGTGTATACATGTACCTTGTTAGAACCTGAGCTCCTTAATTTCACTGAAGCATTCATACTATCCCTCTGTCCACCTGGAACACATGGGAGATAAATGCTATAATACTTCAATAGTAAGTAAATAATAAATATTTACATCAAAATAAGCAACTTTTTATTTCATATATGAATGAAACAGAGACACTGTTCCCTGGGTTTTTTAAATCAAGCTAAAAATGATTATGTCACTTAAAATATGGACTTTAAAATTGCATACACAACCTTAGCCAAGTCTAGCACTGCTGCAAACATAGACTTGCAAAGGATAAAAGTCCTCCAGTTATTCAAATAATCTTAAGTTCGAATACATTTAATATGAATACAAACTTTTAGATTTGTCCTCAGCTGTAGAAGGTCAACAAATTGAGAGGTTCTGGAGGTATGACCTTGTAGACAAAGGTGTTGGCTTACCTGATTGGGTTTTGACCTACATACATCTCTCTGAAAGCAGTACAAATTAAATTTACAGATAATTTAAATTTGCATTCTGTAGGGCCTACATATGATTGATATAATACAATTATTCACAAAAAGTAATAAAAATATGTGTGAAATGTAATCTATTATAGCTCATATGATTTATTAACTATATTGCCTTATGTCGCATCAGAAAGTAACAATCTGTAATGTCCCATGCAAACATCTTATATGGCACCAGACAGTATTGAACAAGATATAACAATGGTCGTAGGACAGGGAGGACCGTGAGACAGGGCAAACCATACCAGGACGGACCATATGTTTGGAAATGGCGGACCATGACTCGAGATGAGGCAGACCGTGATTAATTTCAAATTTAATACTGCTATTTCATTTAATTCTTTTTTTATCTTTTGATATCAATGTTATCAAAAACAAAAAAAAAATAAAATAAATTAATATAATTTTATACTAGTACATGTATACAATGTATACTTAGAGTATTAACATTTACAGTACCCTTGCAATTATAAGTATAAAATAGGTAGCGTAAGATAAGTGGGAATGGATTGAAAAAATCTTATAAGTAAAACATATTTTTCCTTCTGCACTGAAGTTAATAAACCTTGACAAAATTACTTTAATTGTAATATTTTTTTATATAATCCATTCATAACATTTAAGTTGTATAAAGGAAAAATGATTATTTATATTAGTTAATTCCTTACTAACTATAGGACAACCAAGAATAGTTTATATACAATGTATATCAATTTGCCTAAACAGACAGCATCTTAAAGTTTATGATGTAAACTAACTTGTCAAAGGAATCAAAAATTGAAGGAAGTCAACCAGGAGAAAGCAGTCAAAAAAAGATAAAATATTCCATCAAGACACTTTCCACAAAAAAAAAAATTCTGGATAGGTGCGTAATTTTTTTGTAATGTCACTCATCATCATTTTACGCTATTGTGTTGTATGTCAGATGTGAATAACAAGCCCTTTTCTTTATGTGTTGTTAAATGAAGTTTTACCCTCTTATTATTTATATCTGCGGTCTGTCATATTTAAGAAACAAAGACTTGTAATTATATCTCTGTAATTTGTCAATTATCAACCTCCATAATGTCCAACTCGATGCGTTATTAATAATTTCATTAACAAATTTATTATTAAATTAATAAACTGCATTAATGTATGAACAGTGCACTCCAGATACAACGAGATCGTTGGGACTTCAGATGATTCCTTGTTATAACCGAGTCTCGGGGTTATAAACCGGGACAGAACAAATTGGGGAAATCAGACACTGTCCAGCATAATTTATTTCTACTTTCGTGTGCATCCCTTTTTGAAGAGTAATATATAATGGGAAGTAACTCTTTGCAATCAGAAGTTTTTTGTTTATTTAAAAATATGCATGTATATAAAATATATCTAGCTATCATAAAAATTTCAACAAAACATGAAAACACAAACCTACGTCTAACGCGCGTGTTTTTTCATTAATATGTACATTTTAAAATTTGTTTCCAAAAACATTGCAATTTCTCAACGAACAGCGAATAACACCGCAAGACATTAAAACCGCTTCCTTTCTTGTGACAATTTAGCCCCGGAGCGCTGACAAAACAAGGCTGACACATTTTGATTTCTAATTGCTTGACCCCATTTTCTCGTCCCACACCAATAATTTCTTCCTTAGTTGACCTTTATTATTGGTCATCATTGTTTTTCTCAAGGCGTCAAAACTGATGCAGACGGAAGTGCAAATGAAGTGACCTCGTTTAAAATTCTGAAAAATATGCATGGGAACAGCGAAATTATGTACGTTGTAACCGATATCTCACTAAAACCGAAACGATCTCATTATAAACGATAAAAAAATAAAAGGAAAATAGATGGAAAAAAGGGCCGGGACACAGTAGAATGTATGTTGTAAGCGGTACCTTGTTAAAACTGTTCTCATTGTTAAGTGGAGTAGACTGTATATGTTTATAATGATATTAAAAAAAAAAAAAAAGAAAATGAATTGACACTATTTTAGATATTTTTATAGCAATTAATTCCGGACAGCCTCCGTCTTGAGTCAGGGTTCCGTCCTGTCCAAAAAAATTATGGTCCACCCCATCCAAACATACGGTCCGCCCTGTCTCACGGTCCGCCTGTCCGTAATTCATAACAATATAACACAAAAATCCATTTTTTTTCAATTTTCATCTTTTCTCTATGTTGATATTAAATGAATAACAAGATTAAACAAATTGTTTATGTCAAATCAATTCATTCAATGCGACTAACACTTGTTTCACTCATTTGCAAAAATCATTAGAGAGGGTATCATGTTGCCCTAAGCCGCTTTTTTTTTTAGTAATATGGGAAAAATGACAAATTTAGAATCGAGACAACTACGTTTAAAAATCGTTACATTCAATCAAATTTGAGCTCTACAAACCGTTCAAAAGGCTTTTTATCCCGAAACCATTAGTGCCTACCAGTATTATAAAATGGCTGAGGGTGAATCATCTGGGGGGTGAGTTGTCTGTAAGCCGGTTTTAACTGCAAATTGCATATAAGAAACTAAGGCCGTAAGGGAAGTAACCCCCATCTGCGAATTATGATGAACGATGATTGTCATGATCTTCTTCTTCTTCCAATAGATCTACTGTACATAACCCACTCTGGAGCATTGATTATGACAAGTAAGAGATTCAACAATATAATATTATTTTATCATAAAAGACTGTCTATGCGCAATTGGCGCAAAGATATAAACTGATAAAGATGTTAGCTTTAATCTTGTAAAAAGAAACCTTTTAACATAACAAAATAACCATACCAAGACTTCTGAAACCCTTTGGTCACATATAGATCTACTCGATGATATCTAACACTGTATTCCCTTTCATACTCGTCTAGTTGAAAACATCGGCTGGCGGCCATTTTCCTGATGTTTTGCTGAAAATCGTTCTGTCAGACGGTTTACGGCAGATAAATTTGTATAGACAAGGGGCATGAAATCTGTATAGACTTTCGCTTTAACGAGTAAACAATGGCAGAATATAAACCGTTATTGAACGATTGCACAAAAAGATTTTGATCCGGCACTTGTTTTAAAATTGTGTGTCTTTGAAAACTTATTTTGGTCTGGTAAGGATGTAATTATAAATCTGCCAGTTCGATATGGGATCATTGGCGTTCTGAAACTGGCCGCCATGTTTTTGTCACAATGATACAAACTATCATCACGTGCATTTCAGTGGTGGCAGTGGTTAAAGTAAGCAAAGCGTGACGTAACCGCCTGTGAGGAGTTTGGTTTATTTATTGGATGCCCAATTTGGGTTTCCGAGGACCTAAAAAACCTTTTTCCCCCCGTAAAATAATTTCGAAAGTAAATTTTTGGAAGATCTCGATTTCTTTCGTACCCAAGACATTTTCGATCATACATGTACTTAGACCTGCAAATCGAAACAGATTTTTTACAAAAATTGTAATATTACACAGATGTCTGGCCTTTACAGGAAAAACCGGCATATATGCCTACATTTTTAGCTCACCTGTCACAAAGTGACAGGGTGAGCTTTTGTGATCGCTTTTTCGTCCGGCGTCCGTCCGTCCGTCCGTCGTCCGTCCGTCGTCCGTCGTCCGTCGTCCGTCGTCCGTAAACTTTTACTTTAAATGACATCTCCTCATAAAACCACAAGGCCAATTTCATTCCAAACTTCACAGGAATGTTCCTTTGGTGGTCACCTTTAAAAAATTGTTCAAAGAATTTAATTCCATGCAGAACTCTGGTTGCCATGGCAACCGAAAGAAAAAAACTTAAAATATCTTCTTTTAAAAAACCATAAGAGCTAGAGCTTAGATATTTGGCATGAAACATCTTCTAGTGAGTGTCAACCAAGTTTGTTCAAATAAAAGCCCTGGGGTCAAAATTTGCCCCGCCCCGGGGGGTCATTGATTTTCCCTATATGCATATAGTGAAAACTTAAAAAATCTTCTTTTAAAGAGCTCAAAGAGCTATGGCTAAGATATTGAGCATCAAACATGTTCTCATAGGTGTCTATCAAGTTTGTTCAAAGAAAAGCCCTGGGGTCAAAATTGGCCCCGCCCCAGGGGGTCATTGATTTTCCCTATATGCATATAGTAAAAACTTAAAAAATCTTCTTTTAAAGAACCAAAAGAGTTAGAGCTAAGATATTTAGCATGAAACATGTTCTAATAAGTGTCTACCAAGTTTGTTCAAATAAAAGCCCTGGGGTCAAAATTGACCCCGCCCGGGGGGGTCATTGATTTTTCCCTATATATGCATATAGTAAAAACTTAAAAATCTTCTTTTAAAGAACTCAAAGAGCTATGGTTAAGATATTTAGCATCAAACATGTTCTAATAGGTGTCTACCAAGTTTGTTCAAATAAAAGCCCTGGGGTCAAAATTGGCACCGCCCCGGGGGATCATTGATTTTCCTTATATGTGTATAGCAAAAACTTAAAAAATCTTTTTTGAAAAAACCCAAATAGCTAGAGTTAAGATATTAAGCATGAAACATCTTTTAGTGAGTGTCTACAAAGTTTGTTCAACAAATAAAAGACCTGGGGTCAAAATTGGCCCTGCCCCGGGGTCATTGATTTTCCTTATATGTGTATAGCAAAAACTTAAAATCTTCTTTGAAAAAACCCAAATAGCTAGAGTTTAGATATTAAGCATGAAACATATTCTAGTAAGTGTCTACAAAGTTTGTTGAAATAAAAACCCTGGGGTCATAACTGGCCCGGCCCCAGGCGTGTCATTGTTTTTACACTACTATATGTGTATAGTAAAAACATTAAAAAAATCTTCTTTTAAATAGCCCAATGAGCTAGAGCTTAGATGTTTAGCATGAAACATTTTCTTATGGGTGTCTACCAAGTTTGTGCAAATAAAAGCCCTTTGGTTAAATTGGCCCTGCAATGTTTGGGGGGGGGGGGGGGGGTTGGGGGGCCTATATACAGGTGAGCGACCTCAAAGATTAGGCCATCATGGCCCTCTTGTTTGACAAAATACCTCAATGGACCCCTTTAAAATTGAATTACAACTTTTTTTAAATGTATGGGTAAATTACATTTTCTGTGGTTGAAATTTTTCTCTTTTTCTCATTAAATCAAGCTATAGTTTCCCATTTCTTAAAGCCACAGGTTGTTTGAAAGTTGAAAAAAAAAAATCACTGCCAACTTGATAATTGTTAACCTGAAAATCTTCAGGCACTTAAAGGGATTTGAAACCCCAGACCTCTAGATTACAAGGCAGAACACAACCATGTCGCGAAATATGTCAACACAACAGCAAGACTGTTGGAAATGATCTATACCTGTTCTCAATACATGGTTGAAGTAATTTATCAGTGTTAATTAGACATTTTATATGATTTAACAATTTTTGACACTACTGATATTCACATTTTTTTCACAAATCTAACATGTAAAAAATAAATATCATAATAAAAATGATAGAACAGGGTTTTCTATTTTAGTGGTAATACTGTGGAAGTAATATTGAAGAAAATATTTTTAATATTTTATTATCATAATTTTTTCAAATTTTAATTATGTCATTATCATGCTGTACACAATCATATTTATTGTGTAAACTATATATACATTGTATAGACACATATATACATTGTATATACACACACTAAGAGAGTAGTATTAGATGAATTTGAAAATGAAATCTCTAAATTGATATTTTCAGGGAAATAAAAAGATCATTTACTTTAATAGTTCACTTGGAAAGGCTGGTACATGTAGCCTAGAAAAAAGTCAGCAGTATAAGATTAAACAAAGACTAGAAGATTATTACAAACAACAGGTACTTATATAATATTTAATGTATATTTTCCCACAAACCAAACTGTTTTTCCAAAAAAAAAATTAATGAAAACAATATTTGACGCTAGTCATAAGATTGACAGAACAGTGGCGTGTGGGGGGCATCCGTGTCTTGATTGGACAACTATTTCTAGCTCTCTCATATATACGTATGTATCGAATTTATGTGAACGGCACCCGTCTTAAAAACGTACGGATGGCAGATTTTCGGCAGTTCTTGATGAATCGCTTAGCAGGGATGAGAAACAACCTTCAGGTGTAGATGGTAGTAAGGAAAGAATTTATTTTGTGCACATTTGCGACCTAGGGTAGAAGTATAGTCAGGCGGTACAGATAGTTTGTATAACACGATATTCAGGCCATTTGTTGCTAATTTTTGTCACTAAATATGATGGACTGATGGTAGAAATTGAATTGTGTGAATGTAACTCCTCTTAAACCGGATGGTAGATTTTTGCTTAAACTTCCAGGGGATGAAACAACCGTTAATGTGTAGATGGTTAGTAAAGAAAGAAATTTTTGCTGGCAACCGTTGAATATTTTTATTACAGAATTTACATTCAGATTGGTTAGTTTAAAACTAACCATTATTTACTTTATTTGTAGCCAATAAGTAATTATACCACTTAAATTGCTATGCCGTCGAAACAGAAGTAATTGTTATACTGTCTGAATTGTATACACACCAGTCTCTCACAACGCATTACAGCACCCAAATGAGGGTAAAAAATAACTCTGACATAAAGAAGATCTGCGTAGGGATGACAATTTTATTAATAAAACACAATATATTGTTCATTGCTCATTGTTTTTTCAGAGTTTAATATTGCAAGTTGCATAGTATAATTTGATATGTATCCACTGTGTTCATACTGAATCGGTGTATTCAGTAATATTCATAAAACTACTTTTCACTTTCGGTTTTTAATTTAACACTAACAATTTGACGAAATACGAGTGTTGCAACGAATAAACGTATAAAGGATTGTAGAAGGAGTCGTGCTTTGCGCTTGTTTACTTGAGTACGAAAAATGAATCGGTCAAAGGGCATATTACAACAACAGGGTATTGGAAAAGTTTATTTTTCAAGGTGGATGATTTCAGCGTTTTGCTGTCTAAATCGACTTTGCGAGTTCTGAACAACTGGGGCGGTGTGTAAAATGTGCTGCGGGAGAATATTTAGTGTCGACAGTGCGCTGTGTACGACGAGTTATGCTAAGTCTAGCGGTGTGAGGCTCAAAAAATGTAACCTGGTCGATCGAGGACAAGCAAAGATAGGAATCGAGCAGTAAATAAAGGATTCTGTATATTATTAGTAGGAGTATTTCTATCTAAAAGAAGATGTATTCGTCAGAATATATTTAAAGATAGTCATTAAGATTGAAAGTCGATTTTTGAATATGAAGAAACAGCGAAAAGTCTATATCGATGGTTGCGTGACCATTGATAAGATGTAAGAAGAGACAAATAAGATAAAGCATTTTTTTGCAAATTATTGCACTTCATATAATTTTTATTGCTTTAATTTTAAAAGGTGGACATGTGTGATCACTGTCAAGCGGAATGAAGATAAGCATCACACTCAAGTTAGGTGAACAGGTGTATATCTCCAGTTTCCAGATGTAGTGATCATAACTGTATAGGCACATTAACACTTTGGACTAGTTGGAGTATTTAGAGGGCTAGTCTGAATTGAATCCCCTGTCAATTAAGTAAAGGCCAGTCATGAACATTGTGTTGAAGGAAAATGTTAAAACTCGGATTTCCCGCCTTAACCAATCATTACTTTACCTTATATTCAGTGCGGTAATGTAGGAAATGGTTACTTTCTGGAACAGAGCTGTCAATTATTTTTAATTTTTTTTTGCTTGTTAGTGTTATCGTCGGACAGTTGTGAAGTAAAGACATCGCAGTTTGACTGTATACAAGTTGCCTTGAAAGAAGTATGTCGAAATCTTAACCAGTTATTCGTTGATTTTGTAGAAATTGACTTGCAGAATGTTCACCTTTGTTTACACGCATCGTCCTATTGGACGTCGAAAACGACATCGCAATGACATTTTCAGTGAGGAAATTTGGAAACTTGCTCGTATATTTGGAGCATTTTTAGGATTTCAATGAAGTAAAAAGTGTTTATGATAGGATACATTATTCCTAGAGACAACCACAAAAATAAA